TCGTTCTATACAGCACCAAAAAGGGGACCTGCTATTGTTACGATGACAAGCTCACTTCAATAGCAGAACCCTTTTTGGTGCTATAAAGAACCAATCAATGCATTCCTCATCAAGCTGAAGAACAATTTCACCATGTCAATAACCATTTAATCACGTTTCTTTGGGTGTTCTTGGCTCTATATTGAACCACTGTCTATACTAAAGAACCCTTGAAGAAGCAGATTTTTTAATAGTGTATATAAAACCATGTGCATGCTTAAATGGTTCTCTGCATGGTGAAATGGTTCTACAGATTGATGGAAAATGTTGTATGTGGTTCTATATAGCACCAAAAAGGAAAGCTTGTTACAATAGCAGAACCCTTTTTGGTGCTATAGAGAACCTTATACAGCACATTCTCTATCTATCTGAAGAACCATTTCACCATGAAAAGAACAATTTAAGCATGCGGTGGAAGTCATGGCTCTAAACAAAACCATTTCCACTACTAAAGAACACTTAGAGAAGAGTATAAAGTATCCAAACCCATTTTTCTGTCATGATATTATACATTATATTTTACACTATAGTAGAACAGACTGGCTACTCTCTACCAGATTACAGTCATATCATTTTTAGTGAGCTAACTTGCTGTTGCTTCTATTTAACCTGACAAGTGGTCTGGGTTCACTCTCCCTGCTGCACATCTGATCTCAGTCCAGCCTTTTTTAAAATAAACATGCAAGCGATTTAATTTTTTTAGTCATGGTCCAACCACAAACCTGCAGCACTCCCTCTGTCTGCTTATGTAAAGGTAAATGTTAGCTAGCTGTAGCCTTTCCTTATCAGGACATCATACACCGGTCAGGCATAACATTCTGACCACCTCCTTGTTTCTACACTCATCGTCCATTTTATCAGCTCCACTTACTATATAGGTGCACTTTGTAGTTCTACAGTTACAGACTGTAGTCCATCTGTTTCTCTGATACTTTGTTAGCCCCCTTTTACCCTGTTCTTCAGTGGTCAGGACCCCCATGGACCCTCACAGAGCAGGTACTATTTGGGTGGTCATGATGTTGTGCCTGATTGGTGCATATCGCTGCTGTCTAAAGAAATCTTTTTTTTTTTTTACTTTTCTGCATCATTTGAGCACAGCCGCTGTCCTTTACACCGTGTGAAAATGTCATGAATAATGGAGAGAAATGCTCCAAAATTGCATAGAATAAAATCTCTTTGCATTAATTTACATTAGTGGGTTTTTCATCTACCAGTTTTTTGTGAATTTTGAAAATGCACAAAAAAAAAACCTGAATCTAAAAGTCCAAAATTTGAAATAACTCCCAAATATTGCAAAAAGAGTTTATGCTAGGATGAGGTGGAAAAGTTAGAATATCGCTAAAGCTGAAATGCAAAAAAAGGGTGATGGAAAAGGGTTTTTGAATGAGAATAGTGAGAATAATTGGCCCTACAGATGTTCTGATCACAGTGCAGAGCTTTTTAAAGATGGTTTTCGATGTTTTGAAATGTCTGATCCAAAGCTCTGTGCTCTGCACAATGTACTCCAGAACTACCTGGTGTGTTTGCGTTCTCAGATGTGAGGTGGACGTTGTCGGTGGGGTGATTTCAGCCTTTATTAGGTGGCCACTGCTCATGCTGCCTGGCAACTCTGAGCTGCAATCATAAAAAGATGACAGACAGCTGTAAAGATGATTGTACTTAAAGCAAAAACTGAGCTAAATCTCTCCATCTCACTTGTTTCGATGCCCCAGATCACAGCAGCCACATCATCTAAAGTTTCTTCACATAACTGTAGTGGACAGAAACGCAACTTAATTCATTTGTTTTTCTGCCAAACTATGCATAACATTTGAGAAATGTTTGAACGGAAACCCTGAAAGAGAAAGTAAAGATCGTTTGGTCTCCTCCTGTAAAGTTACTATTTTGGAGATATTTTTAGAAACTTTTGTTTAGACGGCAATAATATGAGGTATGAATCTGTTTAGTCTACACAAAGTGATGGTCCCATCTTTCAAACACCAAACCAATTGGAAAATTCTCAATAACACATTTATTAAAGATAAAAATGCATGCTACAATATTACAAACAATATAAATATATTCTCAAGGCTTGTCTGTAGAGTTGCTCAGCAGTTTAAAGCAGAATTCTTGCATAATTCAGTGTGTGAGATGTAAACAGAGAGATTCAGAGTGGTTTGGTGTGAAATGGTTCAGACGTCTTTACAGTGGTGGTGATAGGAACCAGGGGTCGCCATGACTACAACACAAATATAGACATTTTATTTACTATCCAGAACCACCAGTGAACCTACACGAATCTTCTGAGTTTATATGGAATGTTGATGATGGAAAATAAATAATAATAAATCTAAAATAATAAGTTTTCTTTGGGGACTATTTTGCCTCACAGCGCCCTGCATGTATCCCTCCACCATGAATGGAGTTTAAGTTCTCTAAACTATCATAAAACAGTGTCTCAGTCATCAGGCAGTGAATTCATAACCATTTACTGTAGTGACTTTCTGTGAGGGAGCTTTTAGAGGCATTAAACTCTTCAGACGTCTGGTTCTCTAGAATTACACATTCCACTCTGAATGATTTCACATCTAAGTGAAATTATGCAGAAATTTGAAAAACATCTCTTTAACCTGTGCTGCACTGACAGACAGCAGCCAAATAGCAGCAGTTGTTTAACTGCTGGGAACATTAGAGCAGTGGGAACACATGGGCAGCACGATCTCGGGGTGCTCTTTGGTTCTAGGGGCCAGATGGTCCCAAGTCTACGCCCTCGGCAGGATCTGGCCGTCGGCCGCAGCGGTGAGCCGAGAAAAACAACCACGCAAAACATTTCATCTATCAGGCCGTCAGAAACGCCACCATTCCTCCGCCGTGAGAGTGACCATTCCTAATGGCTTTTTCAGATGGTGGAGCTTACGTCTTTCTGCAGGAGTCGTGTCTCTCTCTCTCTCTCTCTCTCTCTCACTCTTTGCCCTTCCCCGTCTCCTGACAGCCCACATCTCAGTCAACAGAGCCAAACAGATGTGCACTCGCTCCCCAGAACTGCCGAGGAGCTTCAGGCATCTATACGTTTCCACAGAGAGCTAAACATGTTCTACACTCTCACAGACATCCACCACCTAAAGACACTCGCTTCTGCTCTGCTAACAGTGAAATCACTGTAAATCTAATCAACATATCAAATATTTCTCATTTTGAGACTGTTGTAAGAATATTATGACATAACATTGATATAATCATGCTATAAATATGTAAACAGATAACCATGCTATAAGCATGCTTTGATGTTATGATCGCTAATTAGAGCAAACAGCACAAATTAGCATTTCTTATAAGCTGTCATAACATCAACCATTATGACATCTGTCATGGCATACTTACGACATGGTTATGTCAGTGTTATGTAGCAGGGTTGAAGTAAAGTGTTACTCTGTTTACCTTATTTCTAGATGTCTGTTAATTGTTTCAAGTATTTTTATCTACACATTGTGTCTTATTCTACTGACATTGATAAAACAATTTCTTTAAAAACTAATAATAGTTAATAGATAATAATCAACAATTTATCTGGATAATAATTACTTCAAAAAGCAAATAAGTCTATTTTCTTAACAATTTGGCTCTTCAAGGGTTCTTTAGGGTCCTATATAGAACCACTTGCATGATTAAATGGTTCTCTGCATAGTGAATTGGTTCTTCAGACTGATGGAGAATGTGTTGTATATGGTTTTATATAGAATATTTTAAAAAAGGCTTCTAAATAGCACCAAAAACAGTTCTGCTATTGTTACAAGGTTGACATCACAACAATAGAAGACATTTTTGGTGCTTTATAGAACCAACACATTCTCTGTCAATCTGAAGAACCATTTCACCATACAAAGAACCATTTACATATTCAAATAGTTCTTTTAGTGTTCATAGTTCTATATATTCATTACCAAAGAACTCTTGAAGAACCGCCTTTTTTAAGAGTGCAGAAATGGCCTGAAAAATCTTATCTAGAGAATTTTCTATTTGAGATTATTGTTAGTATAATTTCTAGACATTTGTCAGCATTTCTTACACAACCTAAAATAAATTTATAAGGATTTGTCCCGTATAAAATGACTTCAACCAGTCAGAATTACTGAACATCCTTGCCATCATATATCAATTTTTAAAAACCAATAAGGATTAATTAAGTGACTATTCAGACGTTATATTGGAGGGATATGTAAACATAAACTATCGCTCCGTCTGCTGTGAAACAGCTGCCCATATTTGACCTCCCACCTTTCACTCTGACATCTACTGATGCGTGTGGGCTCAGCCTAACACATGTCCAACATGTGTTACACACAACACATGCGCATGTTTGAGAAAGTGTGCAAGCGCATTAGTAATTTACAATATTAGGTTTGGAAAAGATACTTTAGTACATACATTCACCAACATCTTTATCATAAACACACAATAAACATCCAAAAATAAACAAACTAATAAACTGTGCAGCAACTGATGGATGCAGTCTGTAACTGTACACCTACACAACGGGGCTATGGGAGAGGTGTTTCTAATAAAGTGGCCAGTTACTAATAAAGTGGCCAGTTAGTGAAATCACAAGGTGGGTGTTTCTAATATAGTGGCCAGTGAGTGGAGGCACAAGGTAGGTGTTTCTAATAAACTGGCCAGTTAGTGGAAGCACAAGGTGGGTGTTTCTAATAAAGTGGCCAGTTAGTGAAATCACAAGGTGTGTGTTTCTGATAAAGTGGCCAATTAGTGGAAGCACGAGGTGGGTGTTTCTAATAAAGTGGCCAGTGAGTGGAAGCACACGGTGGGTGTTTCTAATAAATTGGCCAGTGAGTGGAAGCATAAGGTGGGTGTTTCTAACAGACCTTTATACACTGGAGGTACCATCAATATTTCCTTTCACTGATGTTCCAAACAAGGCTGTTCTATAAGAACTACTAAAGGAGGAACAAATAGAGACCAAACAACGTAGATCAGCTACATCAAATGATTTTTGATGTTTACCCTGAGATCGTTTTTGCATTTTGGATGTGAAAAGCTCTGAAATCTGGAATGGGAGCCTTCTGTGCCCTTTCTACCTCTCTTCTAGATTTAAAATGAAACAGAACAGCTTACGCTTTGGCTTTTTTCATTTTCTCTTTTATTGCAAATATCATAAAAAAGATGAACTTCTTCAAAGGAAAATGTTAAATCTGATGCAAGAAAAAAAACAAACTGGTTGGATGACATCAGTAACATCAGTTCTCAGATACGTGGCATGGAATAAGGAGTAACTCATAGGAGAGATTAGATGGAACATACTGGTGTCTCTAAACAAAAAAAAACAAGCAAACAAAAACAAAACAATTACCGCTTCAGAGCTTTGTGAAACTTTCCGATGAAAGAAAGCCGAACGGTTCCAGTTGAGAATCACCCTTACTTTAGGAATGGAAACAGTACTTCATCGATATGCGTTTGGCTAACACACACACAAAAGGAAGAAAACAACATTTAAAATAGAAACATCTACATATGATAAATAAACATGATTACGAAACTGTACCATATTAAGTAGCGCCCCTCGGCTTTACGACGACTATGCTATGGACCCGGAGGGGCGAATTCTGAAAAAAAACAATTAGTCCTTTAAAGTATTAACGAATACAATGCACATAATTACTTTGAAATAAAATTAATGCTAATAAATAAATTAGAGGGGTTAAGACTTGACAGAATGGGGATGGTGGGGGTGGAAAGACAGGGCTGGTAAGACAGGACAACCTGGGGATCAAAGGTCGTTTCCTGTCACAGGAGTAAATTCTCAGCTGCTGGTGTACTCTTCCTTTTAGCCCCCCTGCACAACCCTTGGACCAGGCACTGATGGTGCACACTCAAACCGAGCTTCCAAAACAGTCCGAAGCCTGGCCCTCTCAGGAATGTTTTACAGGAAAGATAAATAAACCTACGCAACCTACAACGCATGAAGATGAGAAAACAGGCCGGCAAATGGATTCAGATGCAGATGCGAATGAGACAGGGCTACTAGGAGTGGTTTAGTTTAGTAAAAATAGACCTTTTTTAAGAGAAATGTCATAAAATCCCCTCCAATCAGCCAACGGTAAGAAAACACACAGTTACGCTTCACTGTAGGGGAGCGTTCATAAGGCTACATGACACACATAAACATGAATAAACATTATAAAGCGAAAATCAGGCATCTCCAAAACGGCAGGTTTACAGGAGAAGGCAAAAACATTCTTTAAATTCAATGTAAGTTCTTGACGAGAGTTTATTCCAAGCCATTTTGGAGCATTTCTGTTGGTCCAATCATTATCAAATTTTCACAGACTGTAAAGGCCAGCTGCTGCGCTCCCATGATGGTGAAATGGAGACACTCGTTTGTTTTGGACAGCGACGAAAGACTCGTTTCAACAGGCGTTGTTTGTCATAAAGGCTGCATGTCAAGTTTCTATTGATTTTTTACGTTGTTAAACTTTCTCAGTGTACATCACAGTGACACAATGCTGACAACACGACAGCTGGCCAATCCTACCACATATAAAATGTAAACTTTGCCAAAGAGGTGGGCGATACGGCAAAAATTTAGTATTGTGATACTTCAAGAAATTTTCACAACACACGATATGTCACTATATTTATTGGCTCAGACATCTGATCAGCTGGAACAGAGAGAGAAGAGCCAGCAGTGCTACATTTTAAAAATGTTATCAATTATTATGCAATATTTGGCACCAAATCCAGTTAAACAGACTGTTAAAAGTCCACAAATGCATGTTGTGACATGATTCATGACGATAATGATATATAGTCATATTGCCTAGCCCTGCTTTGTTACATCATCAGCATCATATTACTGTGAGCTATAAACCAGCAAAACTTCAAAAAACTGCTAACGTGACATCAGAGTTGACAAAAGCAGCTTTTATGACAGATGACGTCTATAAACGTTTATTCGGGTTTATGACGGTTGTCATGACGACGTTATGTGTCATGCATGCCCTACAGTGAAGTGCAACCAAACATACACAGTACATACTAAAGTACATTAATTAATTATTCCTCACAGAGGAACCTTTTTCTCAGAAAAATGTTTTTTCTTGTAATCAAGGCTAAAAATATATATCTACTCATGGCATCAGGTTTTTCCAAAGGCACATTGTGAGTCCTTTTTGAAGTCCAGCTTTCCTCAAGTGTCTGTTTTTACAGAGTTAACGATGCATAACGAGTCATCAGCCTTGTTGAACAGTCTTTAAACGCGGTCAGGGTCTCGTGAGCTGTGTGTACACGGGCTGCTGGTCCCAGTGCTGGGGGCTGTGGCCGGCTGCCGGGACGGAGGGGACGCCAGCGGAGTCGGTGATGGGGGTGTACATGGGCCTCTGGCTGGGGCTCATGTAGCTGAAGGTGGAGTAGAGCCCGGAGCCCTGGCCTGCCGCGTGGCTGTAGTAGGAGGTGGCGCCGCCCTGCTGGTCGGTGTAGTCGTACTGTGCCCGGCTGATGGAGGGGAAGGAGGAGGCGGCATAGTGCTGCAAGTTGAAGGAGCCATAGGTGACGTGCTGTGGCGAGCCCTGCTGCTCGCTGTAGTGGGTGGGACTCAGCTGCTCTGTCTTGATGTGAGTGGTGTTTCTCTGCTGGCCCTGATCTCCGCTGTTCCCGGTACCCAGCTGGGTCAGGGAGTGCTGCTGCTGCTGCTGCCCGCCCTGAGGGCTCCCGCTCTGGGTCTTGCTCATCCAGCCGCCCCCGGCTGCCTGGCCCTGGCCCAGGCCGTATCCGCCCGCGTAGGTGGCGCCCGGGTGCCCGTTTGGTGGCAGATACTGGTCGAACTCGGTCACGTCGAAGCTCTCCATGTGCGAGATGACGTCGCTGCTCAGCTCGCCGATGTCCACGTCACGGAAGTCGATGTTGAGCTGGCGTCCGGTGCCCTCCTGGAGCGGCCGGCCCTCGCGCTTCAGGTCCACTTTGCCTGGCTGCGCGTCGATTTTGGGGGTGGTGGGGGGAGTTGGGGGACCTTGGGACTGGCCTGTTTTTCGGAGAGGGAGGGAGGGAGGGAAAGTGGGTGGAGAGAAAGGAGGGAGAATGTGAGCCACTGCGCAGCTGAACACGGCTGATGCAACAGTTTCAGTAAAAACAACAAGTCTCATGGACGCGGCCCAGAAACCAGGATGACAAAGCAGTTGTTCTTATTTCAACTTACACAACATGCTGCACGTACTACATGGTTTAAAAGTGATCTCTTGACATGTTAAGCAGCACATCATTCTCAGTCGCCTGCAAACGCTACTGAATGTCATTAGAGGGCTTCGCTGTGGTGCAAAAACTTTACATCTCCATTTTTGTCGTTTTTAACTTTTTGCATACTTTGAAAACTCCAGTCTTTGCATAGTGTTAAAATTTCATGATGAATAGACCAACAGAAATGGCCCAGAATTACTTGGGAATAAATCGCTTTACATTAACTTACAAGTGACGAATGTTTTTCTTTCTCCTGTAAAGTTACCACTTTGGAGATTTCATGTTTTGTTCCAACAATTGCAAAAGGCTACTGAATGTCAATCTAGGCCTGTAAAAGTAACTAAAATACTCAACCTGACCATTTGATCCCATAACACTGGACTAACTAGCGCCCAGAACTCACCTCCTTGCTCACTGGGGGAGTGCACTTCTCCCATGCTGGACGCAGGGGAGTCGGCCTGCTGCAGAGCTTTGAAGATAGCATTAGGCGACACGTGCCCGTGTTCAGGGCCCTCCTCCACCTCGCCTGCTCCGTTCTTCACCGACTTCCTCCTCCGTGGCTGGTATTTGTAGTCCGGGTGATCCTTCTTGTGCTGCACGCGCAGGCGCTCCGCCTCCTCCACAAAAGGCCTCTTCTCCACATCGTTCAGCAACCTGTGGATGGAGAAGAAAGTCTTCAGAATGGAGAGTCTCCACATACAGGGCATAGTAACAAATCAAACAACCTCACACGACTGTTAACATCAAGACTTCTAATGCAGCCAAATAAAGCACTTGAGAGTGGAATGGGGGGAAATTAAAACACCACAAAGCCTGGTAATACAGTGTAATATGTGCATTGTAAAGCTGTAATTACATTGTTAGAGCATAAATATATCAAGCACTTCATTCATTGTTAGTCTAACCCTTGTCATAGAGACTAATAAGCTCTTGCTTATGGGTATTACATTGAAAAACTGCTTTCAACTGACTTCCTTCCAACATACACAGCATTTCTACAGCAATAAAACACAGGCCATTACAGCAGCCTAGCAGTTTAGTTACGTTTGGCACAAAAATGTGTTGGTGTGACGAATTTTACTGGAACTGAAACTAAACTTTCAAATGGAGTCAGTTCAATGCTGTGCATTTTTCAGCATAGTGCTAAAGCTGAGCAATAATTTGGCCCCTACCGATTTACCACCTTAAGTTCTACTCTGCTTACCTCCAGAACCTTCACCCTAAACCTCCCTCCAGAATTTCCACTCTCTAAACTTTTCAATAACTTCTACTCTGTGAAAACTCACCTCCATGACTTCTGTTCAGTAAACTTACCTCCATAACTTCCACGCTCTAAACTTACCTATGGAACATCTGCTTTCTAAACCTACCTCCAAAACGTCTTCTCTCCAAACACACCTCAAGAACTTCTGCTCTTTAAATGGATGTCCAAAACTTCCACTTCACACTTACTTTAGTATCTTTTGGTCTCTAAATTAACCTCCAGAGCTTCTACTTTAAACATACATCCAGTGCTTCCACTCTCTAAACACACATTCTGAGGTTCTGCATCCTAAATGTGAATCCATAATGTCTATTCTCCAAACCTCCCTCCAGAACCTCCACTCTCCAAATGAATCCTCATAACATCTACTCTCTAAACTTACATGCAGAATTTTCACTCTAAACTAACCTCCAGAACTTCCACACATCTTCATAAGCTCTACTCTCTAATCTGACCTCCACTCGAACCTTTCCACCATATCCTCCACTCTCTGAACGCACCTCCGTAGGTTCTACTCTCCACACTAACACCCACACCTTCCAGTCTCTAGGCTCAGCTCCAAACCTCCTACTCCATCAACTGAGCTCCAGACCTTCTACTCTCTAGGTGGACCCCCATGATTCCCACGTACCTCCACAGCTTGCCCAGGGTCTTGCTGAGCTCCGCGTTGTGGAGATGAGGGTACTGGTCCGCCAGTTTCCTCCGCGCCGCCTGCGCCCACACCATAAACGCGTTCATTGGCCTCTTCACGTGCGGCTTGTTCTTGCTCGAGCCGTTCACGCGCACCGGCATGGGCACGAGCGTCCAGTCGTAGCCCTTCAGCACCTGCGAGACGGCCTCGCGGATGCACGCGGGGAACTTGTCCTCGCCCTCGTCCTTCTTGAAGTCCCCGAGGCGGCTCTCGGCCGCCGCGCGCTCGCTGTCGGAGCCCGAGGCGGAGGGGCACGGGGAGCCCGCCGAGTCCTCAGACACGCTGGGGCTCGGGACGTCGGACAGACCCTTCTCTTGCTCGTCCGTCATCTTGAGGTAGGGGTCGAGGAGATTCATGCGAGGAGCTGACGGTGAGCGGCGCGCGGAGAAAAAAAAACAAAAACAGAAGTTGCGGCGCGTCACGCGGCTCCTCAGAAAGTCCTCGAGAACTCCAACTGGGTTTGATGCGCGCGCTGACGTCCTGGTGGCTTTCCACGCTGCTGAGGCTCCCGTTCCCCTCGGGTTCTCTCAGGTTCTCCTGTTTGTTTTTCCCTCCTGTATGTTTTATTCCTCCGCGCAGTCTGGAACTTCTACAGCGCCCGTGCGCCCAGCCTTTATAAGAGAGCTCGCGCCACGATTGGGCGCGCAGCTCGTGGCGTCACGGACGCGGCCACGCCCTTCATCTCCTCCCCCTCCTCCACACTTTACTAGTTAGAACTGAACGTTTTCATTCTAGTACTATTAATAGAACCCCACTATACACACTTAAAATGGTTCTCCATGGGTTCTTTAGTAAAGGCAATGCTTCTATTTAGAACCACGAGTTCTGTATAGAACCATTTGCATGGTACTTTGCATGGTGAAATGGTTCTTCAGATTGATGGAGAATGTGTGTTGTACATGTTTCTATATAGAACCTTTTTGAAAATGTTCTGTGTAGAACCAAAGCCTTTTTGGTGCTGCATAGAACCATACACAACACATTCTCCATCAATATGAGGAACCATTTCACCATGCAAAGCACCATGCAAATTGTTCTATACAGAACTTGTGGTTCCAAATAGAACAATTGCCTTTGCTAGAACCCTTGAAGAACCATCTTTTTAAAGTGTGATGTAGAAAAAACAAAGATTGAGGTGGAAAATAAAAGCAGAGGAGCCAAATTTAAACACCTCAAAAAGAAAAGCACCTTTCAGGGCTCCTGTGCTTCTCTGGTGGTCAGTGTGGTGGGGTACATGGGGTACGCCTTCTGCAGGACATTATAAGGTTCCTCCGGTTCCAAAACATCCTTTGGACTTACAGTTTTACAGGACAGGATGAGAATGCATGGAGTTCACTTCCAAATTAAGTTCACTAATTGGGTTAATTTAATTTAATAAAGCCAGGTTTTTAAAATGTTCCAATCAATTCAAAATGTAATCAAACTTAAATCTTCTGTTATATTTTCAACTTTTCCCAATTTTCATTGAGGTGAAGGTGTTTTAGGGTCAAATTATTGCAAATTAGCGCATTGTTACAGGCTAAATGTTATGATATCTTCATGATTTTCTATGCTCATGTGTTTTTCTCTATTTAATAAGTGTTACATAAAGAAGTACATAAACATCACACTGCAGTTATCTTGATTTTATTCTAAGAAAAGGTAGAAAAACTTGGAAAGTGAACGTAGTGCACCTTTAAAACTATTTTAAAGTACATAACTGAGTCTTAAGGTACCTCTGAAGGTGCATCTACATTGTTTGCACATTGTTGAATGTCAAAAACTGTGCCTGCTGCCTTTTTTCTGAACTTATTATTTCGAAATATCATTATTCTCTTCACTTTTACCTCAGTGTCATTCAACTTTTTAGCCTTATTAACTTCGTATAACTGTTTTTTGAAAGGCTGTGATGAGGATAACTCGTGCTAAAGTCCTTTAGTGAGATAGAGTCTGGTGAGGAGGCCTTAAATACTGAGAGGCAGTGTTATAAGAGCTGTGATAGTCCCGTTGTTGAGGTCCAAGTCATCAGTAAAGTTGAGTGAGTAGGTGCAGTTTTACCTTTTGCCCATAGGGGGAGACAGCGGTCCGACAAAGCGTGGCGGTCTCTCTGAGGACCATCAGCACTGGGCACAATGTTATTTCTTCTTTCAGACCCGCGTTCCGACCAAGCCCCACCTTCCTGCGCTGGGGTTGGACGAGTGTTCACCACTGGCCAATCCCAGCTCAGGAGCCTGACCAGCTCATCCACAGGTTTCTACTTCTTAGCCTTGACAAATAGAGACGTTTAAAGAACTTCTGAGTGTTCAGAACTCTTTTCTTCTGAAATGAAGGTGTTGATAGTGAGTCTGTGCTGCAGTATCAGCCTCTACTCTTCTGGGAAGGCTTTACACTAGATGTTGAACATTGCTGTGAGGATTTGATTGAGCATTAGTGAGGTCAGGTACTGATGTTGGATGATCAGTTCTGGGTCACTCCAACTCATCCCAAAGGCATTGGATGGAGCTCCATCACTCCAGAGAACACAGTTCCACTGCTCCACAGCCTTTATACCCCTCTAGCCCATGCTTGGCATTGGGCCTGGATCATGTGCAGCTGACCCAGTGTGTCCCATTCTATTGGTCAGTGCTTTTCTATGGAGATTATACAAGCTGTGTCGGTGATGGGTGTAGATTAAAAAAAGAACTTCACCAATTTTCCAAATGTCTGTATATTTGAGTGTGTGAGATGTAAACAGAGTGATTCAGAGTGGTTTGGTGTGAAATGGTTCAGACGTCTTTACAGTGGTGGTGATAGGAACCAGGGGTCGCCATGACTACAACACAAATATAGACATTTTATTTACTATCCAGTTTTTCAAAGACAATGTTAAAATAGTGATGAAACCTAAAAAAATCATTTTTTTTAGACACAATTTTTTCTTACAACACTCTCCATCAATCTCTCTACTGTGAATATATTTTATAAATGTGTTCTAGGCCAAAATCTCAGCCATCTGGCAGTGTATTCATAAGCACTTCATGCAATAACTTTTACTATAAAAAAGTCTAAAAATCTAAAATCTAAATAAAACAGGTCTTAAAGGGGAACTCCATTAACTTTTTAAAAATTCCACATAATTAAGTGGTAAAGACATAAACAGAGTGGTTCAGAGTGGTTTGGTGTGAAACGTTCCGTTCTACAGAAACTTACCGAGTCAGAACTGTTCACAGTGGTGGTGATAGGAACCAGACGTCCACCTCTAAAAGCTCCCTCACAGAAAGTTCCTACATGAAATGGTTATGAATTCACTGCCTGATGACTGAGACACTGTTTTATGATAGTTTAGAGAACTTAAACTCCATTCATGGTGGAGGGATACATGCAGGGCGCTGTGAGGCAAAATAGTCCCCAAAGAATTGCCCATCATCAACATTCCATATAAACTCAGAAGACTCGTGTAGGTTCACTGGTGGTTCTGGATAGTAAATAAAATGTCTATATTTGTGTTGTAGTCATGGCGACCCCTGGTTCCTATCACCACCACTGTAAAGGCATCTGAACCATTTCACACCAAACCACTCTGAATCTCTCTGATTACATCTGACACACTTCAGAAATTTTGAAAAATTGGTGGAAACTCACAGCACTTTATGGGTTGATACATTTAAAAACAAATACTTTTGTTCCTTGTGGTAGAAATACACACTTCAAAAGATGGTTCTTCAAGGACTCCTTAGTAACTTAGGAAACTGTTCTTTTTATAACCATGAGTTCTATGTAGAACGATTTATAGGCTTAAAGGGTGCTTTGCATCGTGAAATGGTTTTTCAGATTGATGGAGAACGTGTTGGTTCTACATAGCACCAAAAAGGGTTCTACAATTGTTTCGATGTCAAGCTTGTAACAATAGCAGAACCCTTTTTTGTACTATATAGAAGCACTTAAGCAAGCAAATTGTTCAGGATTCATTGCCTTCAATAAAGAACCCCTGAAAACACACCTTTTAAGTGTTTATAAATTGAGTATTTTTACTTTTACTCAAGAACTTTTGTGAGCTTTGTTGCTGTGTGGCTTTGTGTATGTCAGAGCAGGGTTCCTGAGAGCTGCGCGGAGGCCGACTGAATGTATTTTTTCGAGAGAACTTTGCATGAAAAGAGCAAAAGCAGATCTCCAGAAGTCTATCAGTTGATTTTAGCTCATTTCATGCCTGCTGATTTGCAGGCCTGAGGTGATAAGTTTAATTAACTCTCTCTCTCTCTCTCTCTCTCTCTCTCTCTCTCCTCTCTCTCTCTCTCTCTCTCTCTCTCTCTCTCTCTCTCTCTCTCTCTCTCTCTCTCTCACTCTCTCTCTCTCTCTCTCTCCCTCTCTCTGTCTCTCTCTCTCTCTCGGGCTGGAGGAGTAAAGCAGACCTCTGGATGTTGTTACGCTGTTTGCTTGCTCAACGTCAGACCCTCGCAATGCAGAATCAGTCAGTAATCCTATCTGCCCCTCCACCTTAATTAAGGCCCCACTTCCAAATACAGAAAACCAACTATGTGCGTCCTGGTTCCTCCGCGCCTTGTCACACCGCGTTTATTTACTCTGACTCTGCTTATTTAAGTTGTTCACTTGAAGCACAAACAGAACAGACCTTCTTAGACTCTTGTCAATTGCACGCTGGGTCTCGTAGCGCCGCTGCCTTCGCTAATAGGAAGGAGAGGGTCTTTGTTTATTTTGAAACAGCGTTTAGTGAAACGTCCCTTTTCAGCGAAGGCTGTTAGCAGCTGATCTCTTAGCTGAAGCCTTTTTTCAGTCCGGTCATGTTAATCAGAAGGACCTGCTGTGAGTGCAGTAGTCGCCAACTTTGTGTATTTTTGCAAGGCTGCAGCTAATGTTTATTTTTATTATCAATTAACTTGTTGATGGCTGTTCAATTAATTGACTAATCTAAGCGTAATGCTCTCTTTGGCTATCTGAACAGTATAGAGCAGTGTTTCCTCTGGGGTTTTTTCAGTAGCGGTGGCCCATACTCCAACCAGACCACCCCCACCCCACCCCACCAAGCCAGCACAGTTCACTGACATCACCCCCCCCCCATTTATATATCAAAAGGTATTAAAATGAGGAAATATCAAAAAAGAAATGAAATAAAGCCACACAACTCTGTTCAATGTATTTATTTACATCTGTTTATACTAATAAATTATAATAACTCTTTGACTCTTTATTACTTACAGATTGCAGAGCATGCTATGAAAAAAGAGCCAGCAAATTCTCTGGAGCCAATTTGGAGGGAGAATGCATTTTTAAATGTATGTTGCTGCCGTTTGTTTTGAAAATAAGTACCAGTTTACCAGTTTATCACTGATGTGTGAAACGTCAATGATAAACTGGTACAGAGCTCTTAATTTAAATTAAA